AGTCCAACAGTTTATTTTAAGTTCTGCGTAAATGTATGCAAATTAAGATGCTATGGAATCATATTATGATAACATGGTTTAATTTCATCTTCTCTTGAGTTTAATTCTTGTTTATTTGTTAAACTTGCTGCCCTTTTTCCCGGGTTCTTTTTTTTTTTTTCATTTTGGTTCCAGTTCATGTTCTTGATGTTTTTCAGATATTCTACAATGAATTTATATAATCTGGGTTTTGTTGATTTATGTTGATTTGGGATTGTTCAAATTCGGGCGAAAGTTGATGCGCAATTTGAGATGAGATGCTCAGTTTATTGAGTTGGCTTTCAAGCAGATAGATAATCGATCGGTGTATTTCTATTGCATGTATAAAGAGGACTTTTTGTTGACATGGTATGAAAATATTTTGTGCAGAAATCTGTTGCTCGCTCTGAGGAATTTAAGAGCTCTGTGGAAGCCAAGTTGGCTCTTTCCAGAGTAACCTGAACCCTGAAGAACCTTGTAAGTGGGGGCTGTTTGGTTAATCAATATGTAGTTAATGTGAAATGTCATTTAATCCTTCAGTACCATATTTGGTGCATTCGGGAGATGGTAAGTCACAATATTCAGTCAGTAATAATGGATGAAATGCTCTAGGTTGGTGGAAAGAATGTGCATCGAGCAAATGTAGGGGTGAGTAGCAGCGACTAAGTTTTGCTGTTTTACTACGGGTTATGGTAATTTCAGCTCTCCTTTTTGCTACTTTAGCCCCCCTTTGGACAATTTTACCCCTACTACAATAACCAACCCCCATCAACTTCTCTCATTTTCTCTCATGAGTAACTTGAACCCTGGAGGACCTTGTAAGTTGGGGTTGTTTGGTTAATCAATATGCAGTTAATGTGAAATTTCATTTAATCCTTCAGTACCATATTTCGTACATTCGGGAGATGGTTAGTCACAACATTCAGCCAATAATAATGGATGAAATGCTATAGGTTGGCAGAAAGAACGTGCATCGAGCAAATGTATGGGTGAGCAGCAGCAACTAATTTTTGTTGTTTTACTACGAGTTATGCTAGTTTCAGCTCTCCTTTTTGCTACTTCAGCCCTCCTTTGGACAATTTTACCCCTTCTACAGTAACCAACCCCCATCAACTTTTCTCATTTTCTCTCAACCTTCAAAACCCAAAGAACTCATTTCTTGACAAATCCGAAAACTAGAAACATGGAGAATCAACATCATGGTAAAGGGAAAGAACAAAGGACAAATAAAAACTCAAGAAAACAAAAAAATCCTAAAAGCTTAATAAAATAAAAATAAAAATAAAAATAAAAAAATCAAACTGCCGGGTCGGGCGTCCGGTGCTCGTGCCCGATCCTCGTGAAGGTGTCCAAGGCACACGCCTTCATCAAGAGCATCGGCGTTGATTTTGAACGCCGCTGCCCACTTGAAAGCGTGCATTGGGCACGCCTTGCTGGAAGAAGGGGGCTTCCTTTTTGAGCACTGACCCTTATAATCAGCACCCGCTGTAGACGCGGGTGCATGGAGGAGCACGCCCGATCTAGATGTGCATTTCCGTCGGGCGGCTCGTGTAGCGGACGCTCGATGGTTTTTTTTTTGAATTTTTTTAAAACTTGTATTTCATTTATGAATAATAAATATTTAATTAAATTTAATTTATTTATTAAATTATTACTATTAATATCTACTATTTAAGTATTCATATTTAAATTCTACCTATTCAAATCAATAACTTAAAAAGGTGTGAGTAATGTAGTTATTCATGTCTCAACACAATGTTATGTACGTATTTCGATAATATATTATGAGAGTTGCTTGTTTCATAAATGTAATTAGTTACTTTCTGCCTCTAAATTTACCTACGCAAAAAAAATGTGTGGGTAGCTGCATAGTGCTGGCATTGTTATGCTTAATTAGAACAGGTATATATACTTAATGATGTGGAGAATTGTCACCCCTATTTCATTGCCTTTTTCTTGTTAAAATTTTATTATTTGATTTTAAAATAATCAAATTAGAGCTTAGGGTTTAGGATTTTTAAAGTTAATATGAATTCAATTTGCAACTCTAAACCCTAAACCCTAAAATAATAGTGATCACTATATTATTTTAACTTCCTATATTATTGCTTTACAATATTAATTTTTAATTATTTAAAAATATTGAATTAATTAGGGATCATAAGATTCAAAATGCAAAATTTAGTAAATAGATAAATCTCCTTTCGCACGTATGTAATTATCCCCCTCCTCTTTTTTTATTTTTTATTTTTTATTTTTTAAGCCAAAAGGATAGAATCCTGAAGAGTCAAAGAATAAAACAGCACCACGAAGAGAGTATACCTCTAAAATGAATATTGTACTATTCTACTCCCTAACTCCTGAACAACTAAAGAATAGAACAACACAACACACAAAGAGGGTATACCTCTAAGATTAATATTGTATTATTCCATCCCCTAGACTCCAGAATCCTGGAATTTATTACTTCAAAATATAGAGAAATGACAGCCTATAGACTGACCACAATTACATCAGAAGCTCCTACTTCAAATTTAAGGGAAGGAAGATTGATCTAAAATAAAAAATCCTTTTATATAATTTGGTAAACTATCTATAGAAGAGTAAACTTGTGATGCCCCAGAAGCAGCTTCTTTAGCTAGCCAATCCGCAATTGAGTTAGTTTCTCTATATATGTATGAGTGATTCGGAACCCATTCCTGCGCATAATAGATGACATTTCCTGCAAGTACAAAAAATATCTCCAAGGAAAACCCGAACTCTTAGATAATACTTCAGCCAATACTTGATTTTCCGTCTGAATCTCCACATTTGAGAGGTGCAATTGCTCACATCTTTTCAATCCAAAAAGGATGCCAGAAAGTTCAGCTTTGAAGCTATCACCTCCTCCATATACAAAAGAACCACCTTCGCCTCTAATTACAAAACTATAACCTGCCACATCAAAGTTTGATGAACAATCAGTATTAAGGATGTAAGAATTTATAGGAGGGGGGCTGCCATTTAACTTCCAAAACTCTAGACCGAGTAGCTCGTCCAAGGTTAACATGAAAGACATTTAAGAAAAAATTCCTTTTCGCTTCATTCCGAATTTTTATATCATGAATCATCATCAAACAACGTACCTGATCCATAATGACATGTATAATGGCTGAACTATTCGGATGAACATCTTCAAAGTAAACCTTGTTTCTATCCTTCCACAACTCCCAAATAATTATGGAGGATAGAATCTTCTGCAATGCACCATAAGACAACTTGAATTCACCCTTGCACCCCCATCTACCAAGCAAAGAAGAGGTCGAAGCCTCTGCCTAAATAGTGATCCGCATCAAAGCCAAGAAATGTTGCCAAACCTTCATTGCAAAATCACAACCAACGAAGCAACGAATTATTCCATCTTCATGCTTCCTACAAAGCAAGCATATGGCTGGATAGCAATGAAATCACATTTGTGCCAAGACTTCCGGAAAAGGAAGAAGCTTGTTGCGCAACTTCCATAAAAATATAGAAACACGCAAAGATGTTATAGGGTTCCAAAAATATTTAGTCCAACTCTCTTCAACACGACGCCTCCTCAATGCTTCATAGGCAGACTTAACCGTTAATTCCCCTTTAGACGTATGCTGCCATATGAGACGATCATCCTCTACCATGAAAGCTTGTTCATGATCCGTGAGGAAGTGTAGTAGCTCATCCGACAGCACCGGTTCTATTAGTGGAAGGAACTCTTGCCTATTGAGGAAAAATTCCGTAATGCTCAAGTCCAGTTGTGGAGGTTTCAACCCCTGAATGTCCCAAAAAATACCATGGGGTGACCAATTGCCAAACCAAAAGGATCTATTTCCTCTACAAACAATCAACTTTATATGCACCACAGCCCTATGCTCCACTATTGAGATCCGCCGCCAAGAAGCTTTATTTTTGGATGTATTGGATAGAGAAAGGATGAAGTTGCTCCATATCCCGGTCCTATTCTTCACTTGTTGTAAATGTAAAATTTTGAAGTCTATTAAGTTATAAAATATACCATTGTTAAAAAATAATTTTATGTATGGGTCAACCCCCGGGTAAAAATTACAGTAAACCAGTTGACTCACAATCCACGCCAACTCGTCATGACCCAGCCCGTATATGACCATTCCTTAAATGGGTTGGGTTGGGTCAGGTCATGGCCTGCTTAAATGATGATTGTATAGTTTAAAAATCTAATAGACTACCCGATGGGTAACCGTGGACTACCCATACCCGTTCAAGTAATTTTTTAACTAGATCCATCCAACCCCAGCATTTTAAATGGATGGATATTTATGGACTAAAGTCCAATGGATTTGGATGGGTAGTAAGCCTGTGGGTGTTCTTGCTAGCTCTAATGAGAATAAGATCGAAAGAGAAAGGCAGTGTCTAGGCTGTTTACGAGGTTCTTGGCAATAGCGGCGGCAGCTTTGCTTTCTCCGGCTGAAGGAAGGAAAAATTTGAGGTTCTTGGAAGGCGGCAGCTTTGTGTTTCCGGCGGAAGGATGGAAAAAGTAAAAGAAGAAAATATGTCAGAGATTATAATTAAGAAAAAAAATGTTTCTGGTTTGAAGGGACGGTTTAGTGTTTTTCGGCGACTTTGGGTTCCGGGACGAGGGGTAGAGATTATAATTAAGCAGGGGCATTACTGGAAGTTCATTGTCTAAAATGAGTTGTACCTTACTTTGGTTAACCAAATTAAAAAAGTTGCACTGTTTGAAACTAGACTTTGTTTTGAGATGGAGGGAGTATAACTTTCCTCATGGGTTTACTCATAGATTTCGTTAGGTTTTAGTTGATTATCTTGTAAATATTGGAATTTTGAGAAAAAATTGATTTGTTACGACCTTCATGACAACCGAGAACCGGCTCAAGCCAATAAGGGGCCTAAAGCGAGTACTTGAAATGAGGCCTTTCGTAAATTAGTCTAAATTATTTTACTTATTTATTTATTTGTGTGTAATCCTTTCAGTATTGGAACACCGATAGGTATTAACCTAAAATTTATATATGAATGTTAGTAGAAAAAGAACAATACAACTTATACAAGTACGAAGTCGTAATACAACTTTTATTTATATATTCTTAAGCAACATTATGTGACAAATTTACTTCGTTAGTTAATATGATAAATCACACCGAGAAATATAATTCATCGTCATATCATGGACGAACCCACCAGTGTTGGAGCTGCAGGGACAGAGTTCTTTATCCACCTTTTCGAAGGCTTTCAAGATGTGGTACCACTTCTCCGGGATCGGCCGGGACCAATTAGGCCTCAGCAGCCCCCATTTCGGCGGTCGGCCAATCCTCATAGCGGCAACCCTCCGCAAACTATCAAGAAACATAGCCGTGAGATCCTGCCTCGAATAACCCTTGGATGCATGCGCCATCTCAAACATCATCTTCTTGTCCCACAGCATTTTCGCATCGGGATCCTCCAAGAGAACCCCTCTGGCTTCCACCCTCTTCGCCGCCTCCTCCTCCTCCTCCTCCTTGCTCTTCTTCTGGTTCTGGGGTTCCAGATCAGACAATTTGGACAACTCAGCTTCCGCCCTCTTCTTCCCTTTCTTCTCCTCCTTGTTCTGGTTAGCAGTTTCGGGATCAGACAATTTGGACAACTCAGCTTCCGCCCTCTTCTTCACTTTCTCCTCCTCCTTCTGCAGTCCGGATCCAAATCGGCCGCTTTCTTCTATTCTTTGTTCTCCTCCTTCTGTTAAGAAATTCGGAAATCGGGATCCAAATCGGACGATCTGGATGGCTCAGCTTCCGCCCTCTTCTTCCTTCTCTTCTTCTCCTTCTTTCGGTTAGCTATTTCGGAATCGGGATCCAAATCGGACGATCAGGACGACTTAGCTTCGGCCTTCTTCATCTTCTCCTTCTTAGCATTTTCAGAGACGGGGTCCAAATCGGACGGCTTAGTTTCCACCACTACCTCCCTCTTCTTCTTCTTCTTCCTCTTTCCCTTGTTAGCAATTTTAGCCTCGGGTTCCAAATCGGAAGATTTGGACTGCTGCGATTCCAACCTCTGTCTCTTCTTCCCCTCTCTCTTGCTAAAAATTCCGTCCGCAATCAACATCGTTATCGATGGCGGAAGAATAAGGTTTTTTTTTTTTTTTTTGCGGTGGGGGAGAAATAGCTAATTGCGACTCCGCGAGGCTCGGTCCATTATCAAAAAATATTAGAAATATTGTTGTCGACTTTCTCATTGACTTAAGGATCCCGACGGACTGATTGATACAACCTCATTACAATTTTCTTCACTTTGGATTTTCGGTTTTAACATTCCCTTCATCCTTAATACCCACATAAAAAAATGTCCAACCAATCATTATATGACCAAATAAATATAAAGATCATCAAATTGGATACGATCCCCAATAACCTTTTGATGGCATCAATAGGTAAAATTCTTTTTGTTTATTTCAACGATACGTAGTGGTGGACTAAATCACCCAATAGGTCATTTACATCATACCAAAAATTTTAATCTGACCCTTAGCATCAACAATTGGCTGGTTCAGTCCGCTACTTTGTATTTTCAATATTTTGGTCTCTCTTACTTATTTTGGCACTAAATCAACCCTGACTCTTTCTGTTATTTTAATCTAAGTCAAACCCAATGATAGTCAAAACTCTCACTTCCAAAAATTGCGTCTGCCTCTCCCTAATTATGAAACTTAAGTCGTACACAATTACACTCTGCCAGTAATGTATTACTAGTACTTATCACACGTGACCTGTATCATCCATATTCTTATAAAAAAAACCTCTTCCAATTATATTCCCATATTTTGATTGTTTGAGAACCTAATAATGACATCAACGATTTTAAAAAGGGAAATAGTCAACATCAGCAATTTAAAAAGGGATAAAATAGTCAATAGATAAATATAAAATTTCATAACAAAAACCCCCAATAAAAAAATTCCAGAAACCAAGAATTTAATTCTTGAACATCAAAACGACGTCGTTTTGAAACGACGTCGTTTTGAAACGACGTAGTTTTGACTGCTATACATGCAAAACACCCCAACTTTAATTTTAGACATTTTTCTGCCACACAAATAGCTCAGCGTCCTTTCCTCTTCCGCCGATCTTCCCTGCCGTCCCAAAATTCCTCATCTGCGGCTAATTCAGAGGAAAAAGAAAAATCTGTAATACGAATAATGAATTAACAATCCATTCCGCTTTCCTCCTCCGCGACTTCTTTCGACTCCCAGCACCAATTTCACGGTCATACCCTTCTATGGTGTCCTCTCCCTGGAAGAAGTAGAGGAAGACCGATTTGTAGATCTTTGCGGAGACCTTGTCTGGGAAAACTCTTACTCTTGTATTTGAGAGCGGCAACACCATCGGCAATCAAGTCCAAGATTAAGGTCCGACTTCAATAATCCACACTCTTCTATATTTTAATTTTACCAGCTTGCTGATTTTGCTCAAATTAATGAACTGGATTTGTTCAAATTACCTCACTATTAATCTTGACTTCAATTTGGAGGGTTATAAACATTTGTATGCTGTGTAATTTAAAGCAGCGAAGTCTTTCTATTTTAATCTTATTTTTCTTCCCTCTAGACATTTAGACATGATTCACATTTTCTCTTTGGGATTTATTTATGTAGTTTAAGTTTATCAGAGATGTAATTTGATAGTTGTCCATTTGAGGTTCCTTCTTGCAGTTTATCAATTAAGTTGGTGTTGATCCATGTAGCATTTCCTAGATAAATTGCACTTGGAAGAATTACTAAATAACAAGAGTGAGTTTGGTTACTTGTAATCCTTGTCAGCCCGGAATTCAGGGAAAAAAAAGAAGAAGAAAAGGCCTGATACTTTTGATTTGCGTACTAAATAAAAGGCATGATATTTTTGGGGTGTGTATTGTGTAATGTGTCCAAGTATTCTGTTAAACTGTAATAAAGCCAAATGTTACTAATATCTCCATTCAAGGAAGACAAACGAGTTTGGATATGATTCTGATTTGGAAGAATTCCAAGTTTGTAAACTTTGAATACTTAGAAGAAATCTTTTTGGAGGGGGTCGGAATGGTAGGTAGTTGCTTAGTCTCATCGGGGGGGGGATCTTTATTCCAGCTGTGGGTTTGGTTTGGTTCGTTTGTGTGAGATATGGACAAAGAGAAATTTAGTTTCTTGTTTGCTCTATATCTGAGAAGAATAATATTAGTTATTATACTTGTTCTTATCCGAGGTTTTTTTTTTTCATCGTGTCACTTTTGAATTTTTTAATTTTTTTATTTTTTTGTTAGAGTGATGCATTTTAACCTGGTTGTACTGAACTTGAGTGTAGTTTTTATACACTTGGTAGACAAAAAAGAGCATGTTCTTCTAGCCTAAAATGTCATGTTCTTCTAGCCTAAAATGTCTTTCTTTCAATCTGTTGATCTCAGAGATCTTCTTATTTTTACTCCCCAATGGATACTTTGCTTGAGCATGCTTTAGCTTATAGACACTGAATACTGAAACTGGAACATGAAAAATTATATTGACTCCTTGACAATTGACATTGTGCTACACCTTACTTCGGAAGAAGCTAAATTTGGGCATAGAGGAAAAGGTGCTCTCTAGAAGTATTGTTATCATCTAACTTGCTAAAGACGATGTAAATAAGGCATCTTCATTGTCAAACGATTCCAGTTTTGGCCACTTTTCTAAGTTCTAACTGTGTTTCCTCATTGTCGATATGTTGCTATTTATTGATTTCAAAAGCTAATACATAATTTAATATGTTAATAATTTGTCAATATAAATACTTATCTATATTATACTAAAAATACAAACTGGTCGCACAACGCGCGACAAAGAACTATCTAGTAAGTATGTTAATTTCTCTATTAAAATAAAAGAAAATGTAAACATAGAATTATTTAATTTCTGTTTTTCTGACGATTCAATTGCAATATATATATATATATATAGTTAATATCTAAAAAGAATAAGATAATGGTATTTTAAAATATATAATGTTTTTCTTGTCTTTAAAAGGATAAGATACTAATAAGAAACCAACACAACATTTTTCACTATCAAAAACACAAAGAACAATCTCGCGTTAAGATCCGTCTTTCTAGTAGTACTTGCCATTCTCTTCGCTGTTCCGGCTCAATCAACCAAGCTTCAAGACTTTTATTGGATACAAGCTACCGACCGACGACCCTCCTCTCGAGTTCCGGTGCCAATCCGACGACGACGATCTAGGGCACCAATCAACTATCAGGAATGTTGATTAGAATTTGGAGTTTCACAGTTCATTTTTTCGGTACAACGTTGTTCTTCCAATTTTTATTGGAAAGATAGGGATGCGGCATTTGATGTGTTTAATCACGATATAAGTTTGAATTTTTGTAATCGTGGTGATGGCGTTACTTGTTGGTGAGAAGTCAGAGACGATGGTTTCTACATTTCTTTGATTCTTAATCACGAGCGGTGAAGGATACATTAAAAAGGTTATATATATAAAACCTTCTCGTTTTGTTTGGAGATGTCTAAGTTCTAACGATTTCCTAAATCGGATTTTCTTTAAAAAAAAGAAAGATATTAATAAGAAACCATTTTTAATTTTAAAACTTAGGAATTATAGTTATATTTTATTATTCAGTAAAAACTAAATGAAAACAACATTATGCAAATCCATTTTTACTGGTACATATTAATGTGGCACATGTCCTTGCATCTTTTTTAATCAAACCACATTGCTTGATTTCTCCAAAATTCAATTGCGTGAGTAATATGATTAGATATATTTTTTAGGTACAATGAGAGAAACGAAAGTCTAATTATGAGAAATTAAAACTCTTTGTAAATAGAAAACATCGATAACATCGCTCTAATTATTTTCAAATTTCAACCACTGGAATAGAAAATCGTTTATACCCTCCTAGACTCCCAGCACTCACCATTCCAGTAGTCAGATCACCCATTGAGCTGTAACAAAGAATTACCTTTAGTTCGAGCACCATCATATCCTTCTTAAGTTTGAAAATGATTGTATTCTTATAGGAACTTTAATAAGACACTTTTATAAATATGTCATACTAGAATGTCATGTTAAGACACTTATTAAAAATTCATAAATTTTACAATTAGATATACTCTATATTTATATCTCTAAATGTTTATTAAGAAAATGTAAAACTGTTACACAACAATTTATTAATGAATGATCAAGGAATTAAGGAACAAAAAAATCCCCAATACAAAAGACTCGTTACCATAAAAGAAGAAAGCCCATGTTAGAAGAAGTAACCATTGGGAGAGCAATGAAGAAAAATTAATTAAAATTTTCTAAAAAGTAAACAAAATAAAAAATGAAATAGAAAGCTCCTGCAACAAAAAAGGGTCGGGGCGGAGGATAAATTTTTGGGCAGGGTTCTTGTTTTCATAATTAATGAAAAGGGCGGGAAATTTTTGGGCCCAATTTAAATTAGAGACAATCTCCTTCTTTTTCTTTAATTAAAACCTTCCAAATTAAAACCTTCCAAAAAACAAAATAAAATAAAGAGGGCTAAAATAAGGAAGGGCTAAGTCATCTTTGCCGGTCATCGAGATCAATGGATAAGTTTTCATCAAAATAAAAGTTTATTCAAATTGAATTTTCGACAAATTATTCAGTATACCCGGGGGCACCGTGCCCCCCTCCTATTTTTTGCACGAGTAGCCCTTATTGTACTTTTCATCAATCTTTCTATATTTTACAGGTATAGTCCCTGTCATTTTTTCTCTCTCTTTCAAAAAAAAAAATCTCTAATCTTTTAACGAGAATATCTCCCAATTCGTGAAGAATTTGTGAATGAATTATCTATGAAATTTATAGTACTCGTCGAGATTCTATCCAACGAAATCCACAGTGAACATTTTTTCGGGCTTAAAAATGACTTAATTCTGATGGGCAGAATAGAGGTGGTTATCCATTCTTTTTTTTTTTTTGAAGAGTGAATGTCAAACATATGATTGGATAACAAGTACGAATAGAATGGATAATCAGTCCAAACCGGTTGGATAATCACTAGGAACATAACGGATAACCATTTTTCAAAGAAAAACAAAAAACGCATTTCTTCATTTCTGCCCGTAAAATTTAAATGCATTTAAAGTTCAAAAAA